GAGTGATCGTTTCCTGACTTTCTGAGTGTTTTCCTGCTCTGCAGCACAGTCTTGCCTCTTTGTCTGGTATGTTTGTGTCGAGTATTTAAATGCCCTCTTTCCGAACCAGTAACTGATTATTTCAGGTTGTTGATAATCTGATAACAAAAGTGTGCGCGTCGGATACTGCGAGCATCTGGCGCCGCCGCCAAATGCAGCGTTTTGTTGAGAAACGGGAGGAGGAGAAGAGACATCTCGAAATGCAGCAAAGGTATGTAGTTTCTGATCAGAACTAGGGAAGTGAGGAATAATATTTTTGTAACGAAAAAATCGGAAAATCTCTTTTTCTCAAACGATCGAATTAGGGGTTAGTTTTTGTTGTTTTTGCAATTTAATTTCAGTCTTCCCCTTTCGCCTGGGCACCATGTATGGCTCCGTGGAAGTTTCGGCAAGGAAAATTACTATCTCGGGAACCGCGAAAATTAAGAAGCTAAGGTAATGTCCCCTGCCGGCGTACAACCGCGAGAATCCCTCTTCAGCTTTCACGTAAGCTTAGGTTCCACATATGGCCCATGAAAGTTTAGGTGGGAGAAATTGTTATTTTGAGAACGAGAAGAGCTAAGAGGCTGAAATTCAAGGGGATGTTTTCTGCTTATGCAGGGGCCTAACAAACTCAAGCTCAAACATGTGACGAAGTTCACATACGATCACGTGAAAGTTCTTGCGCACTGGCCAGTTATCTGATTTGCACCACTATTTGATGTTATGCACTACTATCAAAGCGCTATTTCGTTCTCCGTGCCTGACATTAAAGCCTACGCACATATTTCATTCATATACCGCTGAACCGATTTGATTCATACTTTTTTTTTTAACATTTTGCATTTTTCCTCAACTGAATTTCATGCCTTTCATCGTCTATGAATTGCTCTTCATTGTCCAGTACTTCCCCTTCCTTCTCCTCCCTCCTCTTCCTCCTTGTCCCCCTCCCCCCGTTCCTTCGTGATGCTTGCTCTCCCTCCGGCTTTTCCTTCACTTGCTTTTGCGTTCTTCAGAATAAAGATTACTGCGACTTATAGCAAAGCAGTTTCATCGAGAATTGCACAGCGACAATAAGCCACCTCGGTATTATTCTTCTCAACTGACTGACGTTATTTTTGTTCAGTCACAGAGGCTGATGATCCTAAAAGTCCTTCTCATACTGAAATTAAATCTCCTTGCTCTCGGAGACGCAGTACTTTCTTGCACGCCGCTTCTTTGGTATGGTTCTTATTGTTTATGTGGTAAGAAAGAGATGTATCCTTTGCTTCATCGCTTGCTCTTGAACTTTCCTGAGTGACCACGTTTCGATTCCGTACTCCATTTTCTTTATTGAAGAGGGAGCATGGTTCGACTCTTTTTGAGGTTATTGGCATTGCTGCAAAAATTGTGACAGCTAGCAGCTCTTTTTCGTCTTGGCTGCGGATTGTGGCGCATATTTACTGTCTATCCAAAATGGACGTAGCTGTCAACTTCCAAATTCGCACGTTTGTCTGCATTTTTGTCGTGGAAATATCAGT